TGGAAAAAATCCCCTGCATTTTTCTATGTAAATCATTGGATCCCCATATGTGGCCCCATCCTACCCCAGTGGGTCATAATTTTAACAAATTTGAAGCTACACTGTCTATGTAAAGAAAGTTTCAACTTTTTGGGCCCAGTCAGTGGTTCTTGATAAGACTTTTTTAAAATGATACCACCAAATTTTCACTAATTCTTGATTATCCCCCCTTGAAAGAGGGTGTGACCCTTCACTTGAACAAACTTGAATCCCCTTTACCCAAAGATGCTTTGTGGCTGGGTTGGTTGAAATTGGCCCGGCGGTTCTAGTGAAGAAGACAAAAATGTGAAAAGTTTACAGGCGGACAGATGAATGACAAACAAAATGTGATCAGTAAACCAGAAAAACTCAAGTGAGCTAAAAACTGATGATCACAAGTACTTGGAAAGAGTTACAGTATTTGAAAAGCAGTTTTTTTTCATGCATTAATTGTTTTCAGAAGCTGAAAATGACTTGTATCCATGTTGAAAAAACTTCACATTTCAGAAAACAGTATGATTAAAAATAGTTAATCAAGGTGCTTTGAGTAGCAAAATAAGCTAAACTGGTATAGCTAATTCAACCACAGAGCTTAGTGAATTTTAAAATGCACAACCTTTTCAACTCTTAATCATTCTTAAAATATTTATATCATCATTTCTGATTCAAGGGAGAACTAGAGATATGATCAGAAGTATATCCATTGACTAATAAACATGTACATGTATATTGTGTTTTTTAAGTCATTAATGTTTGTTTGTTGTTAAATGTCCCTCTTGGGAATTTTTCACTCATACGGAGACACCACCACTTAAAAATAATGAAGACGTACAAGTCGGATTTAAGGTTAACATTCATTTTAGGAATTTTCAACAATTAATTAAGACGTAAAGAGATAACTCCTTCCCCTTGCCCCTTCCCCTTCCCAGACCCCAGTTTGTTCATGTATGCAAACTAGTCTAATACTTTGGTTTGACATAAAAAAAATGTGAATACATACAAATAGTTTAATGGTCCATCTCTTTGAATGATTTTCATTCCTAATTCTAGGTTGACCCAAATTCATGAATGAAATGTCAAGTAATCTTATCATTGATGCACTTCTATTTAATTTGATGTAGTCATATTATGAACAAGAGAGTGGGGATGACCTCAAGGGTTCATAACCTTAAACCATTAGATGTACATAACATAATAACACAAGAAACAAAATTATGTCTAGTCAAATGGAAAAATTTTCTACTATTTAGGAGTCGCATGATCATTTGTCATTTCAGGGACAGGGAGCGGCTAGGGAGATTGGAACCCCCCCCCCCCTGGAATTTGCAGAGTTATTTAAATAGGACTATATACTGATTTACAGAAGCAAATAAAAAATGACTTTGGATGCCCTCCCCCTTTAAAAACATGGACCCCACCATCATTGTTTTTATTTTGTTTGTTTGTTTGTTTTTTTTTTTTTTATTTTGCTCCTCAGGAAATTCTGGGCTGGAATTTTTTTGGACCGAGGTGTGGACCCCCCTCCCCCCCCAGAAAAAAATTCCCGGATCTATGCCTGTAACTGAATGTAATGTCGACAACGGGAGATAACTCTTCAGAATGTGAAATTCGTCTATTGTGGCATTGATGATCCACTCTCTACGATCGGCTCATACATTCAGTGTCTGAGAGAGAAACGAACGACAACTCTGCATAGGAGATTGCCGATGATCTTTGATCCTTTTTAAACTTTAACCTAACCATTTGCATTTTGGTTTATTTTACCCCAATCTATACTTAAACTTGTACTTACCGACTGTCATAGGTCCTGTCAACTTCATGAAATATAATCCAATTAAAACACAAAATGAATTAATTTCCACTGATATACATGTAACACTGCACCATGTCACATGGCATGTGCAATCTAAAAATGATAATGGTAAAACTAGTACTAGTACTGGTAGGGTGACGCAAGCCCAGTGTGATGTAGAAATTTTCAAAAAGGTGTTCACATACATGTACAGTACAAGAACAAATTTTAAATTATCATAACAAACGATGTTTTAACATAACTTTGCCATCTAGGCCTATTTCCAAAAACAGGCAAATTGTGTGTGTGTGTATTTGGGGGGGGGGGGGGGGGGACACATATAAATTGATTGGGTATGGCTTTTCAAGGAGATTTTTGCCTAATCAAATACTAAAAAAAGTTTGCACATTTTGATAAATTCATCAAAAACGCTTTGTACTAAAATAATATTATTTGTTGTTGAGAAGATAAATTTAATTTAAAAAGTTCCAATTATGGGCCAAAAATTTATATCCCCCCCCTTTTTATTAAAACCTAATTTACAACATTAATTAAATTCTGATATTTCAGACTGGTAATGAATTAAGTATATGAAATGCGTATAAGAGGTTCATGGGTCACATGTTCACCTGAGCATTTTATGCTCGATTTGACGAATACATGTACTGTGTAAATTATAGAATTATTTTGACTTTTTCCTTGGTAAGCCCAATATGAAGGAGTGTGCATTTAGAGGCAAACACCTTAGTGCGGGTATTACTGTCTCATGACAGCATCTAGTTTTTATTATTTGAATTTTTATTTTTAAAAAATTGCTCCATAGACTTCAATGCAATCTTTGTTAAGTACTTAAGTTCTGGGTGTAGTAGATCTGAAGAAGATCGAGACAACAGGTTCTTATCTATCAATAGGAACCTAGGGGAGAAACATGGTGCAAGTAGTACCTTACCCAGTCCCCATCTCTAGATGAAAGAGAAAATTTAAGGTGGTATGGGATACCAAACGAAACTTCTCCTACATATTTATGTACCCAAATTAAAAGGATTTGAAATACCCCTACCTTTCAGTATATTAAAGTGTAATTTTAATAATTTTTTTATTATTTTAATGAGAAATACAAAAACGATTTTTTTTCTTGCATAATTCTTTTTTCATAAGCTTAATATTATAGGCAGGCGTTTGCTAATATAAAGTGTTTATAAAAACAAAAATGACAAGAAATATGTCTTAGTATTTTTTTTTATTTTCAACAAAAAATAAGCGTAAAAAAACTGGGAAAACTTTATTTCTTGAAAACAGACGGATAACATTTCATGAAAGTCTACAATAAGAATGTATCTTAATATGTTAGCAAAGTGAAATAAACAAATTGAAAATATATATATAAATGGAAAATATAAAATGCACTTAAAACTTTTTGAATTAAAAGATCCGAGCGGAAGAGTTATCCTTCTTTATTTTCCAAGGGTTGAAAAAACCTGGGTGCTATTTTAGAAATGAGGAGCATTTTTTCCCAACCATAAAAAAATCGCACTTTGTAGTTTTCAACTTTGAGCGGTTTTGAAAACAATGCATGGACAATCGCTTTCCAAGACGGGTCTTGTTCAGAGCAATTGCATTCATCTGAACGTTTTGGGACTATATACAACAGCTAGCTGATTTGTGACCAAACAGTTACTTCTTGAATTAAATAACAAAAAAGTCCAGCTCTGGTTAACGTGATAATTGATTGGTGATAATTCAGCACAATGTGAAGTAATTGCACTTATCCATGCCTCACCGCACACAAGGTGCTGTACAGTTACTCAAACAATTGAAATACAGCTTTTGCTTAAAAGTGTTCAAAAGCAGCAATGTTGAAACTACCTTTTACAGGGGTTTGCTTTTTTAAATGTCCGTTGTACAATTATAAGTAAATTTATATACTTGCGATTTTTTTGTCTGTTTTTACTTAAAATGCCGACTTGTGAGAACTTGCATTGAAATAGGCTTCAGAGTGTTCTTTTCAACGGTGTATCTACAAATTTTGACCCGATAATAAGCACTCATGCAAATCAAAACAATACTTCAAACGGAAATACGTCATAACGTGGAGGTATCCCATACTACCTTAAGTTCTATGTGATATACCCTCAGACATAGCTGTCCAATCATTAACTCAGACGGAGTAAAAGGAAAACCTATATATCCCTTGTAAAAACCTGATCATACACGTTACATAGGAAATAGCTTTGAAATCTTCTTCTCAAGAACAACTAAGCCATTATTAGTCCTATATATACAGAGCAAACTTAGGTATTGTAGAATCAAGTTTGTTCAAATCATGACCCCCCAGGGGTTGGGGCACAACAGAGGGTCGACGTTTTGCATAAGAATATATAGGAATCATCTTGAAAAAAATCTGCTGCTTAAGAACAGTAAAGCCATGATTATTTTAGGAGCATCCACAGGTAGTGTAGATTCAAAATTTGTTCAAATTAATGGTGGGTAGGGTGGGACCACAATGACCAATCAGTTTTATATAGGAATACATAGGAAAAAAATCTTTAAAATTCTTTTGTTTAAGAACAGCAAAGCCAAGATTAGTAATATTGATATAGAAGCATCCTGAGGTAGTGTAAATTTAAGTTTGCCCCCCCCCTTAAAACTCAATATACTGAACTGATTTCTGCTTCTTCCTAGCCAGTGTGCTCAGGTGAGCAATGTGGCCCATGGGCCCCTTGTTACTAGGTTGGTTAGAGAAGAGCAAATAATTTTTATTTTATTTTTTATTTATATTTTATTTTATTTTTATTTTATTTTAGGCCTCATCCATAAACACATTTATATTTTTTCAGATATTACAGTATTGCAAATATTTCTAGTAGCTGCATTTTTACTAGGTTGGTCAGAGAAGAGCAAACAAATATTTTATATTAGGCCTCATCTATAAACAAATTTTAAATTTTTCAGATATTACAATATTGCAAATATTTCTAGTCACTGCATTTTTACTAGGTTGGCAAAGAAAAGCAAACAAATTTTATTTTATTTTGGGCCTCATCCATAAACCTTTGAACAATTTCAGATTCTTATCCAGAACTGCTTGACCAATTTCAACCAGTTTTGGTATATAGCATCTATGGGTACATGTAGAGGGAAACATGGATTGGAAATTTGTTTCTTAATATCTCCTACTTTAATTTTTTAGACACATATCAGCTGAGATCAAAGGATTTTGCCTATTTGCTACACATTTTCATGAGTTAACTACTCTTGCTGACAAGATTCCTGGCGTTAACAACCTGCATGTAACAGCTTTGACATCCAATGACACACTGACACTGCTCTATCAAGTGAAACAAGGACCATGTGACCAGAGCTTTGGTATTCATGTAGCAGAATTAGCTCATTTCCCACTGCATGTGATTGAGGTAATTTAAAGGAGTAATTGATGTTCATTTTTATTGCCCCCCTAATGTCTGTACATACATCTGTAAGTCTGATATGCATGGAAGTAGTCATCCCCTATCCTAAGCCACTGAATAAAATTTAATTAGACTTACACGGAATCTTAATATACATTCTTAATATACACTTATATAGCGGAGGGAGGGGTGGGGTCATTTTGGGGACTCAGTGCTCTCAGTGCGTACCTTTAGTTATGTTCCCCAAACTAAGATTGGTTTTACTTTCTTTTTTCAAAATTTCTTCTCTGATACTGTTTTGTCTGCAAGTGTTCTTGTAAACTACTCATTCAATTGATATAAAACCTTTTTAGGGTTAACAGGAATGTTGTGTAGATGTGCATTTGTATTTATTGATGAAATGCTTTGAAACTCAAAACATAAAGATATATTAGTAGTGTAGACAAGATGACATGGTCAAATTAGCGTGAACACATGTGCTTGCACATGCGCTTTGCTCTGACTGGCTGAAACAAAAATCTCAATATCTTCCTTGTTTTTGACAAAATCCTTTGAAATTTAAGATACAGGTAACCTACATATTATAAGGTTCTACAATATGCGATACAGAAATTATCTACATATATTGCTCTATCATCCCTGAAAATTTTACGTGTCTGTGCTTTATTGGAAAACGCCTGGACAGACTGACCCTCAAAAAATCACTAAATCCTGAAAATCTCCAGAGCAGAAGTGACAACATCAAAATAAAAATATATATATCTATTTTAAGCTCACCTGAGCCAAAGGCTCAAATGAGCTTTTCTGGTTAAAGAGTGTCTGTCGTCCATCTGTAATCCATAAACTTTTCACATTTTCAACTTCTCAAGAACCACTGGGCCAATTTCAACCAAACTTGCCACAAAGCATCCTTGGGTGAAGGGAATTAAAATTTGTTGAATTGAAATACTGCACCCTCTTTCAAGGGGAGATAATTAAGAATTTATGAAAATTTGGTGGCATCTTTTAAAAATCTTTTAAAGAACCACTAAGCAAGAAAAGGTGAAACTTATGTGAAAGCTTCATTACATATTCTAGATTCAGTTTTTTCATATCACAACCACCGGGGGTAAGAAGGGGGCACAAGAGGGGGTCGAAGTTTTACATAGGAATGTATAGGAAATGTCTTTAAAAATCTTCTCTCAAGAACAGCAAAGTCATGATTAGTCATATTATAACAGAAGTATCCTCAGGTAGTGTAGATTCAAGTTTGTTCAAATCATGACCTCCAGGGGTAGGGTGGGGTCACAATGAAAGATCAAAGTTTTACATAGAGATATATAGGAAAAAATCTTTAAAAATTTTGTTCTCAAGAACAACAAAGCCTTGTTTAGTCAAATGGATATGTAAGCATCCTCAGGTAGTAGAGATTCAAGTTTGCTCAAATCATGACCCCTGGGGTTATGTTGGCACCACAATAGGGGAAACGTTTTACATAGGATTATACAGGAAAAAACTGTAAAAATCTTCTTCTCAATAACAGCAAAGCCATGTTTAGTCATATTGATATGGAAGCATTCTCCGGTATTGTAGATTCAAGTTTATTCAAATCATGAACCCTGGGGGGTAGGGTGGGGCCACAATACATGCTCAAAGTTTTACATAGAAATATATTGGGAAAAAACCTTTAAAAATCTTCTCAAGAACAGCAAAGCCAAGTTTAGTCATATTAATATGGAAGCATCCTCAGGTAGTGCAGATTCAAATTTGTTCAAATGATGACCCCCTGGGGTAGGGAGGGGCCACAATAGGGTATCGAAGGAATATATAGGAAAAAAATGTAAAAATCTTCTTCTCAAGAACAGCAAAGACATTTGTTATATTGATATGGAAGTATCCTCAGGTAGTTTAAAATTCAAGCCCCCCCCCCTTCCCAATGTAAACTTTTCAATACTGAACTGATTTGTGTTTTTTCCTAGCCAATGTGCTCAGGTGAGCGATGTGGCCCATGGGCCTCTTGTTTTTAAAAGAATTGAAAATGAGTTTCAGTTGTCTTTTTCCCATTTCAATATATTACCTCGTAAATTGACCTGAACCATGTGTTGGTAGGGATTGTAAAAATGTGTAGTAGACCATGGTCTGCTATTCATATATCGGACTGGACAACTGTTCAAGGTAAGCTCCACTGTATGCATAATAACAATTGCCATATTAGGTAGATTCCTCAACCTGCAAAATATTTCATGTCATATTCTTAAACTTTTCAAGAATTTTAAAATTTGCAAATAATTTTTTTATTCTATTTTCTTTTTTTCTTCAAATTATGGACCCTATTGAGCTAAAATGTGGGATTAAATTTTACCTATTGCATGTATATGGGGGGGGGGATAAATATATCAGTAATGCCATGTTATATTGATATTGAAGTATCCCCATGTGTGGAATCAGAGACTCCTTAAATTAAGAATGGGGTCACAATTTTTCATGGGAATAAAGAGGGGGGACAATCTTTTAAAATCTACTTTAGAACAGCTGTCTAAGGTTACTCAGATAAGCATTGTGGCCTGTGATCTTTTGTTGATTTTGATGAACAACATTACCATGATTAACAGACATTGTTTGCATTTCATTTTTACTGTTTAGTTTTCAAAGAAAAAAGCATCAGAACTGGAGGATTTCCAATCAGTTGATTTGGAAGCTTCTTTGAAAGGAAATGATGAGCCAGTCGTGAAAAAAAGGAAAATGAAAAAGGAGGTAATTATCTCTTTAGTCTGAGAGATAGAAAGAGAGAATCTGTTAAGGTTTTTCTTCTTTTGAGACATTCAGAAAGTATTCAGAGATAGGATAAGAATGCTTGTCAAATTTTCAGAGTTTTTATGGCGTTGAGCTCTAGAGCTCGAACGTCATCTAGTTATGGCCCTGCTCAAAATTGCCATCAAATTTTACGTGACCAAATGTGTCAGTTGATGCATCCGCAAAAGAAAATAGTAATACATGTAGCTATAAATCAATTTCTTTGAAAATGCTCACAATTGATAATAACTTGAAAATAAAATTGCATCAATTATATCTACAATTAATTCTGTTACAAAACAAAAATACTATGTTTATATTTTCACACAAGAAAAACGTGATAGTTGTTTCGGATGAATTTCTAAAGAAAGGATGCATCGAATGACAAGAATAAGGTTTCAGAACGATAACAATCCAATAGGCGGTAAAACATTCACAAAATTACTGAACACGAATACTAGAATACCTAAAATAATGAATTTCAAAATCTGAACTTGCTTTTACAATGTAATGACCAATTTTATCATTAAAACTATCATTAAAAAAAATTTTAGACTGGCCTGCCTGTCCGATATGTCGAACGTTGTCTGGTCAATTCAAACCCAGCTCTATTCAGATCATGACATAGAGCCCTAAGACTATAATAGTTGACATTTTGTTTACAAAAAAATTTTGTTAGGCTACCTGAATCATACAATTGACTTTTGCTTTCTTCAAATTCAAAAAGATCTTTTAACATGCATTGTTTTTCATGTTCGACGCCATTGAAGCCCTTCAGGCTTTTGATTAGTAATTAGTAGAGAACACTTTAAAACTTTCTGAAGTAGAAAAAAGAGCACTTTTTAAACTTTCAGAGATAGGTCCAAGCTTGGGTTGTAACTGGAAGTTAAAAGTGCAACCTAATTTATGAACCAAATCTGGAAATCGGGAGATTTTTGGGTTGTTCGCCAAAAATCGGTAGAAAAGCAGGAGCCGCAGTGTCATAAAAAATAATTGGATTAAGGCTCAAAAAATCGGGTGTCACCCAACGAAATCGGGTGAGTTGGCAACTATGCTTGTTATAGATGATAGACCATGAATTCTAGATGTTTGAAATTACCTTTTTTCGTCATCAATACTTCTGGTTGCTACCGGAAGTGAATTAAAAATGTCGAATTTTTCAACTTTTTTATTTTTCAATATTTTTTTATGATAATGGTAGGGTTAATAGAAACATTTTTCAAAATGCTAAACATATAATTAGGGCCGCACAAGGATTTGTGGGTGCCCTATAGTAATTGCTGTCTGTCTGTCATTCTTCCGTCCACAAATTTTCTGTTTTTTTTTTTCTAATAACTTTTTTTAGGGTTGACCAATTAACTTCAAATTTTATATGTTGGTTGAATAGGCAGTAAGACATATTTTGATGCTAAGTTTGGTTCTCTATGTCATCCGGTTTGGAGCTGGGGTTGTGGGGTAGATTCCTTGACTTTATATAAGAGTGAATGGGCAAAGCATACTATTTATTATACCCCAAGCAACAAGTTGCAGGGGGTATAATGTTTTTGACCCGTCAGTCCTGTTTTTTGTCAGCGCAACTCCTCATAAACCGCTGCACAGGATTTTGTCAAACTTTGCAGATATTTAGGACACAATGTGTAGATATGTATATTACCAGGAAATTCCAATTCCTTATTTTTTCTGGGAATTTTGGCACTTTTCAACTTAGATTTTTGGCCATATCTTGAATATAGAGATGAACAGTTTGTCAGTGCAACTCCTTTTAAACTGCTGCACAGAAGTTTGTACACAGTGTGTAGATGTGCATATTACCAGGAAATTCCAATTCCATTATTTTTGCCCTGAGAGTTTTGCCTATTATTGAAGAAAATAGATTTGTATATATTACCAAGAAATTTTGATTCCATTATTTATTTAGAAACTTCAGCCCAATTAAATTTGTAACATACAAAGATTTGAATGTCCTTATATGCAAGAAGTTTTGATGTAATGATTTTTTGCAAGTAATGGCCCTTTTTGAATTAACTGTGTATTTAAAATGCACTCTGCCATTCATTACATGTTGCATCATCGATTTTTGGGGGAGCGTGGGGTATTTTAGCTTGCTCACTTTTTCTTTCATTTTTACAGGTATTCAGATCATAACCTCATTGTATCATTGCTGAAAAAGTTCTTATTATAAACTTAGAAGAAAAGGTTGAGAGAGCAGTATAATTAATCCCCTGGGTTTGATTATCTTGCTGGTTGCAGAAAATTTTAGAGGGCTATCTCTCTGTCACTTTAAGATTGATTAACACCTTTGTCTGCAACTGATGTTTGTTTTGAAGTTAAGGTCAAACCTGGGTGATATTTGCATTCACTGGAGGCTGGTATTTTAGAAAACATATGCTTCATTCTTTTTTAAATATACATTTAAATGAGTTATTATAGATATGATGTTTTTTACTGACATATGTAAATACAAGGATACTATTTACAGGTTGTTGGATATTTAGCAGTTGCTATTGCTTATTCTTCTTCATATATTTTTAAACTTTTGTAATCAAGTAAAATTCACATCCCCTGATCTGCACCCTTATATTTCTATCCCTCATCGGGGCCCTTGCTGACTGGTCAGATTTCTAGTTTTTTTTTTTTAAATTGAGAAATCAAAACCCTAGATTTTTTCACTTTCGAAGGGGGGACCCAAAGGCATAATGGTGAGCGTGTTGGATTTTCTGGTTCAGGTTCATGTATTTTATATTTAATCAGTATTTTATTATGTAAAGTCAAATTACATAATTGCATTGGACATCAGAGCCTATACAAGTCCTCTCCCAAAAGGAATGCTAAGTTAGAGGTATTGCAAAACGGTAATACATAATGTGTTATACTAGTAAGTAATAGCTTTTCAAGAAGCTTGCCTGACTAAAGCAATAAATATTCATAGTAAGTACTGTAGATTCCTAAATATACGTGAGGAATAAATTATCACGTAATTACGCGAGAAGCACCGCTCATGAAATAAAATTATTCGCTTTTATTTTCATGGTGCTTTAATGTATGTAAAATCTCTAGATAAATCATCCCTTCGCGAATTATTGTTCTCGCGATTTGACGCCCTTGGGCCATTTCGCGATAATAAGTACTCACGTAAAATAAGGAATCTACAGTATTACATGGCAAATATTTCTTTCTCATGCCGGGCTCGTCTTCTATTAAAAGAAAATGAAACCACAAAAATAAGAAAAAAAAACTTTTTTTCAAAGACAGTTTAATAAACATAAATGGTATCAGATTCCTTGACCGCCGTAGGGCGAGACATGTTTTGCTCCGAAACTTTGCAGTCTTTTCAAAATAGTCCACTTTTGCGGTTAACAGGAAAATAAAATATGAAGAGCAAGAGGCCCATGGGCCACATCGCTCACCTGAGCACATTGGCTAGGCAAAAGCACGAGTTCAGTATTGAAAAGATTACCACCGCGGGGGGGGGGGGGGGGGGGGGGGGGGGCTTGAATTTTAAACTACCTGATGATGCTTCCATGTCAATATAACAAATGGCTTTCTTGTACTTGAGATGTTCAAAAAAAATTTCCCATATATTCCTTTGTAAAAATTTTATCCCCCATTGTGGCTCCTCCCTATCCCAGGGGTCATCATTTGAACAAATTTGAATCTACACTACCTGAGGATGCTTCCAAGATATTATCCTATATATTTCTATTTAAGACTTTGATCCTCCATTGTGGCCCCACCCTACCCCCGGGGGTCATGATTTGAACAAAATAAAATCTACACTACCTGAGGATGCTTCCACATAAATATGATCAATCAGGGCTTTGCTGTTCCTGAGAAGATTTTAAAAATTTTTCCTAAATATTTCTATGTAAAACTTTGATAGTCAATCATGGCCCCGCCCTACCCCCGGGGGGTCATGATTTGAACAAACTTGAATCTACACTATCTGAGGATGCTTCCAAAAAAATATGACTCATCATGGCTTTGCTGTTCTTGAGAAGAAGATTTTTAAAGGTTTTTCCTATATATTTCCATGTAAAACTTTGATCCTCCATTGTGGCCCCGCCCTACCCCCGGGGGTCATGATTTGAACAAATTTGAATCTACACTACCTGAGGATGCTTCTATATTAATATGACTCATTATGGCTTTGCTGTTCTTGAGAAGAAGATTTTTAAAGGTTTTTCCTATATATTTCTATGTAAAACTTTGATCCTCCATTGTGGCCCCGCCCTACCCCCGGGGGTCATGATTTGAACAAACTTGAATCTACACTACCTGAGGATGCTTCCATATAAATATGACTGATCATGGCTTTGCTGTTCTTGAGAAGAAGATTTTTAAAGGTTTTTCCTATATATTTCTATGTAAAACTTTGATCCTCCATTGTGGCCCCGCCCTACCCCCGGGGGTCATGATTTGAACAAATTTGAATCTACACTACCTGAGGATGCTTCTATATTTATATGACTCATTATGGCTTTGCTGTTCTTGAGAAGAAGATTTTTAAAGGTTTTTCCTATATATTTCTATGTAAAACTTTGATCCTCCATTGTGGCCCCGCCCTACCCCCGGGGGTCATGATTTGAACAAACTTGAATCTTCACTACCTGAGGATGCTTCCATATAAATATGACTGATCATGGCTTTGCTGTTCTTGAGAAGAAGATTTTTAAAGGTTTTTCCTATATATTTCTATGTAAAACTTTGATCCTCCATTGTGGCCCCGCCCTACCCCCGGGGGTCATGATTTGAACAAATTTGAATCTACACTACCTGAGGATGCTTCTATATTTATATGACTCATTATGGCTTTGCTGTTCTTGAGAAGAAGATTTTTAAAGGTTTTTCCTATATATTTCTATGTAAAACTTTGATCCTCCATTGTGGCCCCGCCCTACCCCCGGGGGTCATGATTTGAACAAACTTGAATCTACACTACCTGAGGATGCTTCCATATAAAT